ACAAACTGAACAGAACACAATATCTTCATCATCATCATCACAAATGCTCTACAAACGGTTCAGTAATAAAGATAAAAACTTGACTACGTATAGACAGCGGTTGATGTCAAATTGTCTGCGAGTTTTTTATCTGGCTAAAGGCTATTGTTAGATAAAATGTTACATAGCGGATTGATTGAATGATACGTACGTCGGGCTAAGCATCATTCAACCTTAACTATACACTTTCTCTACGAAAAAAATGTGATTGATGTCAAGTTGAAACATTTTTAAAATGTCGAAAATTACTCGGATGAACTTATGCCTACAAAGAGTTCAGATATCCGCAATGAAATGAACTCATAAATGCTGACGATGATTCTTCCAAGGATTCCGAGAAAGTACTCGCTAATGCAGTAGTATAAAACTGAGGTTTCAACGGCATGAAAACATGTATGGAGATGATGGGTATGTGCATATGGGATATTGAACGAATGAACATTACGCAAGCAAATGCATTTGTCGATATTTCTATTCTGGTATCCCAACAAAAAAACCGAATGTGCACGCGTCTGCATACGTATCCATGAATGTTATATGTGTGGTAACTGAGAACGTGCTTACTGAAGAATAAAAACGTATTTTAATACATCGAATGTCCTTCATATTCATTGCATGATAACAATGTAAGTATTCGGCCAGCAATGGATACGGAGCGGGACGATTTCGACAGAATAAAATAATCTTCCTTGAGGCATCGCAATGTTTCATTTTCAATCTTGAAAGCGTTTCTTGCACATTGTTTCACTTCAAATAATGAACACAACGGTTTGTGAAATGACGAACAGGTTTGTGTTAAAAATAAAAATAACTAAATCAATGACTGCGCTACTCGTTTCAACACTATTCACATGCATTCGTGTTCACTTCTCCTCTTATGTGCTCTAGTCTTTATGGTTTCAGCTGACACTGGATAGATATGTCGGAATGTAAAAGAATTCAAGAAATNATTCATTTATCTGAGTGTAACAAAGTTACTGTAGTTCATTCTTCAGCATTTACCAAGCAACTGTTGCACCGATCAATTGAAGGGATCAACCAACCGTCTGCTAAGCCATTAACATTCTTCTTCACCAAAAAATCGATTCAACGTTTCCGCTTTTTCAACACTCTCGATGTTGGCTCACGAACTGACTCTGATTTCATCAGCACTTCATTGCAATCTCGAAAATATCAATACCACCATAAGAATATCTTCCCAGAGAAACGTTTCACTAGTTTGAGAATTCATCCAACACCGCAATGCGTAACATAAAAATATACTACTTGCACGCAATACAACATCGATTCAAACCAGATGGGATGGGTACAATTAGAGAAGAAACTGCACTCGTGATAATTTGTGCCTGATTTGAAAGTTTAGCAAAAATTTTCATGAAATATTCGATACACAAAATATTAGATTTGCATGATTAAGAGCATATAAATGGAATCAATCGAATGTCGTATTCATTTCCAGGCTTTGTTCTTGCCTGCAGCGGCAGTTTCGATCGTTTTGAGAAGGAGTTTGGTGGGTGAATGATTTGCGAGATCAGTGATAGATAGCATCGTGCAAGTTTGCGACTTCATACGGGATAGAATGTGGTTGCTTGATTGTATTTGATGTAGTGTGGGGCAAAGGTTGACTCTATTGTATTTATGGCATAAGCACATTTTAACAATTGCTGTGGAGGGGCAAGGAGATCTTGAATTTTTTTAGAGGGTATGAGGGGAAGGCTGAGGACCACTGATGTGGAATAGCCGTTATTAACGTGTAGTGCTGAATCTGTTTATCACTTCGATGCTTCATCAGTCCGAATTTCAGCTAAAATGGCCGATAAAAGCGCATTTGTACCGGTGGAAGCGATGAGTAGCGGTACGAAACGTCCGGCTGAATTGGACATCGATATTGATGACGATTATTTCGGAGCGTCGCAGAACTCAGCGCCCCCTCCCCCCCCACCCCCACCACCCCCACCACCACCACCACCACCAGCCCCTAAGGTCAGTTCATCTCCTCGATTAGTTCTATTCTAATCTCAAATTTTGTTCCAGTGGATTTCAGTTTGGTTAAGATGAAAAACTAAGATTCATAATTGTTCTATTCAAGCTGATATTCCAGAAATATTGTGTAGACTCACAATCAGTAACACTGACTGATTATTATCGCAAAAGCGATGTATATTTCAGAAGAAGATTGTCTATAAGAAGTCGAAGACCTATCAGAAGACGTATGCATACAAAAAGAAATAGAATCGACTGCATACGCCACACCAATATAACAACACCAATTAAAACGTTTTTATTATGAATAAATCATTCCACTGAAACTAACAATTAATTGTCACGTAATATCACTTCTTTATACACTACGCCATATAATCGCGCTAATATCGTAAAAAGTTAAACTATTTGTGTATATACGTCATCAATAAAATGTATAATACCGCACAGCTGCCTTCCAGTCTTGTAATTCAATAACTTTTCGAATCATTCAGACGTAGATTGTTGAAGTGGATGAGCTACTTGTGTATTTTTGGTTGCTGCCGAATGCAGTTGGTATTCATTCCATCAATTGATACGGAAAGATAATTTTATACAGTTTTCTGAAACAATTTAGACAATTTTGCGGATCCGATGGTGCTAAAAAAACTTGTATGTTCCTGATTAAAGCTGAGAACACGGCCGCCTTCAAGGTGGTACTCATTGCTCGATGCATGTTTGCATTTT